CCGCGTCTAGGCCACGCGATGCTTCAACGGCCCCCTTGAGCGCCGCGATGGATGACTCGCCGCGATCGTTTGAGATTACCCCCCCTCGTGACCAGTGACCAAAAACACGTCTCCAACTACTTTGATCGAATCAGAAACCACTCTTTCAATTTCCATCCTCTTCACCGCATCCACTCAACCGCTCTACCACGCGCAGTCAATGGAAATCACGGGCCCCACCCCGATTCCACCGTCAGTTCGCGCGCCCCCCCCCTCGCCCCCCCTCCAACGCAGAGGGGGGGGGGGGGGGGCCAACTCCGAACTCCGACGTGGTAGATGAATTATGTTCTGCTGCTCGATATTCCCTCTGTTCGGCCACGGGCAGCACGCGATTCCCTTGGGCGATCCAGTATCTTCTCCCGCAGTCACGTCCTCGACGTCACTTAACTCACTGACCCCGTCGCTCACTCGGTCGCCCTCCAAATTCACGATGGCTGGATATTGACCGGGGCCCGCGGGCGCCGCCCGACTCGATGGAACAGACACGCCATGAAGGCCCCCTGCCGGGGAGAATCCTCACATCTCCCCTCGCGAACATCCCCCACCTCTGTCACCCCTCGACTCGCAGCTCCTTTCGGAACTCGGACGGCGAACTGGAAGTGGCCGTTCTTTTTGAAGATCGTCGCATTTTGCCCTGTTGCCTCGTGCCCTGGGCGACTGCGGGATCGCCCATCCGCGTCTCGATCTAAAGCTACGCGACCCCCCGCTTCGACCATCTCGCGCGCTGGCTCGAAAACATGCTCTCAACGCCAGCAACCTGGGTTGGCAGGCTCACTCTAGAACCTTGTTTATTACTACCCATAGCCCCTCGTTGCCCATGGCCCCCAACACCTGGCCCATCGGCCGCGCCGCGGCGCTGGTCCTGGGGGCCGCCGCAGGTTTAGCGGGGAAGCGCCACCCCGCGTTCGGAGGTCAGACCGCGCTGAACGCCCCTAAATCCAAAACAACAGCGATCGCCTCCACGCCGCCCCCCCGGCCCCCCACCAGCGCTTCGTGAACTTCCTGGTCGGGCCCTTTCACCCCCACTAGATGAAGCCTGGCATATTTGCGCATCCATCTTCCCTCCCGCTTGATGCACTCTTTAATTCGGTTACCCCGCTTGGCGCCGCGGTCGCAGTTAACGCTGCACTACTGCGGCGCGTACCTCATCTGGATCTCCAACTTCGCCCACCTGCGTCTCCTCTCTGTTTCCTAGCACTGCGTTCTCCACTTCTGCGCTCGTTCAACCGGATATGGCGCCATGACTCGCCCGGCAACTCCACGCGCGTCAGTGGTCTCGCCCATCTCGACGCTGTAGCGTCCTGGCCCAGGTAGAGGCCGCCCTAACACGTGCGCGGGACCCCCCGCGCCTCCCGCCCCCCCCTGACCTGGGGCGACTTCGACGGCGCCAACCGGGACGGCGTGCTGCGATGCGACGCTTTTAACCGCATGCGTAACATTCCCTCTCACTGATCGGCACAACTCCTCCCGCGCCGCCCCCATTCTATCCTGGGGATTGGCCTCCTGGGTAACCTCCTGAGGCGCGCCCCTTGTAGCCTCCGTTGAAGCAACCCCCTGGCCGCCCCTTGGCGCCCCGGCGCCCTCCTTTGCATCCCTCCACCTGCGCTCGGCACCCGCGCACACTCCTGTCACACCACCTTTTCCTCCGGCGGTGCCCTTCGCGGCGCAGTCATCGGCGATGGGCCCGGATCGACCAAACATGTAACATGGGCCCTCTACCTTTGCCACATTCCTTTGCTATCTTCGTTCGCGTCGCCCCCCCCCCACCCCCCCCTCTCATGTCTCACCCGTTCCAAGTGCACCTGCTTCCACCTTCGCCCTAATGACCAGACTGGTTCACGCCCGTGCACCACCCCCCAGCATCTTCATCGCTAGCTTGGCCGACACTGCACGACGAAATGTTGCACCATTTTTGCTGCGCATTGTCAGCTACATTGCATTGCCCCCCCCCACCCCCACCCCCACCCCCCTGACCTTAATATTGGGCACATGGCAAAGGTCCCTTGGCGCCCCCCCCAGGGCTCGCGACAGAACGTTGCACCGCCGAGCCGTTTCGACGAACCCGGGACCGCAGCCAATGTTAAGATTGGGGGGAGGGGGGGGGAAGCGAACATCCATTGCAAAATCGGCTCGCTCTATTGACAACACCAGGTGGTGCAACATTTTGTCCATGTACCGCATCGATGGAGCCGTCGCCCTTCGCGTCGGCGCCAAGTCTTTTCTGCCCGACCCAGCCCGCGCACTCGACGATGAAGAAGTCCTGGGAGCTGGCAGTGTTCAACGATTCGGCGCCTTGAAAGCAGCGACCCTGAACGGCAAGCGCAATGAGCACGCACGCTTCCCACGGGACTCTACCAGCGCACCCCATTGTTCCTGCGTCGCCACGTCGTTAACCTTCTTGGGCTTTTCTGGAGCCACGGCCAGGTTCACTTCGCGTGACAATGTGGCTCCTGCAACGGCCGAATACCAGTTATAAATGTTCGGATACGTCAGTAAGCCGTTTCCCTCGTGCAAACCATTGAGTTGCCCCCGTGGCCCAATTTGTCACGTAACAAATACCAGATATCCTTGTCCAACTTTGCATACTCGTCTTCATCGAGCCCGCGTTCTCCTTCAGCGTCGTCTTTTTGTCTCGCGCTTGGGTGCATTCGCTCAGGGTTACCCCCCCGCTCGTACTCTTTACCAGATCGTCCTCGTCGTCATCGGGCAAAGCCCCGTCCATGGCTTCAAGTTGGCTGCTCAAATATTTCAGGGTTTTCCGATATCCGTGCTTTACTCGGGCGAACGCGCTCAACAACATCCTGCTCCACTCCCTGAACTCGGCCCGGCCATCCGCAAATATGTTGAACTGTTGAACGGCCTTGTGCTCGCCGACTGGCTGTTGCTACCTCCCCTGGCCCTCGTGCTTCCAGCGGACTGTAAAGCTTCGGCGATTTTGGCAACATGCTCCGACGCGTTCGCTTGGCATTGGGGTCCTGTCCGAACGCTCTCCTTCAAGTTTTTGAACTGTTCCTCGCCAGACATGTTGCGGCTGATGGCCGAGATCAAAAAGGCATCCATTGCGTAGCTCATCTGTAACAGCGTGACAGCCTTCATCAACTGTCCTGGTGCCCAGGGTGGCACTGCGCTAGAAGAACAGTCCCATCGTTTCGTGATGGCCTTGACGGCGGTGATTGCATACATGAAAAAGGCTTTCTCGCAACTGGCGTTGCATAATTCCGCAAACCGTTTCGTGCTCCAGTTGTACCAGGCCTCTCGGACATCAGATAACGTTACATTGTAACCGGCGTCGTGGCTGCCAGAGTCCAGTGGGTTCGCTGCGGCGGCCGCCGCTGCCATCTCTGATCTGGAATCTGCGAGGTGAACCACGTGCTCCGCTAACATGAAATCCGAAAATGCAAATATCACTTCAGCCACTAAACTTAGCAGCGGCGCGTGTGGCAGCGGTCCACACCCAATCGCACGGCCATGTTCGAACACCTCCTCTTTCTCACCCTCCTCCTCGTCCTCCTCCTCCTCCCCCTCCTCCTCCTCGTCCCCTCCTCCTCCATTCCTTTTCCTTACAAATAACTCCGCCCTGCCACACCCCGAAGCCACTCGGAAGGGCGGTCTGGGCGTTTCGCCTTAGACTTCCTTACCACCTACGGTCCTGAAACCTAGAAAGTGGCAACCGGTTCACTGATGGAGGGCGGGCCACTTCTGGGGTTCTCGCCTTAGCGCCGCGCACATTCGTCTTCAAAACTGCAAGAGGGTTTCACGGCTTGAGGGCGGTTCCTCTTCAAAATGTGGCTCTCCCCAGAGCGCCGCGCACATTTGTCAGAAAAAAGCGCGAGAAGATCACATATTGAGGGCGGCGAATTGTCAAAATGTAGCTCTCGCCTGTGCGCCGCGCAGACTCGCCCTAAGTGTTGCAAGAGTTCACGGCTTCAATGGTTAACGTACGAGAAATGATGTTGAGGAACGGTTCAGGACCACCAGAACGCAACAGTTATGTCGTAGCAGTGTTGAAATCCCAGGAATGGCGTTCTGGCGCAATTCACGAACGTCAAGACGCAACAATCAGGCTGATTCGCGGCGTTGGGGTCCCCAGAGTGGTGCGGACACGCTGAAGGATTCTCAAACGGCTGCCTCCCATCGAGGCACTTCCCTCAGTGGAAGTGAATCCTTGTAGGGGTCTATGAAGAAGGAGTTTGGAGGGAGGGTGTATTCCAGCATCGTTTATGAGTCTTGGGCTTACACTGGTTCTCCTCCTCCTCCTCCGCCTCTTCCTCCTCTTCATCCTACTCCACCTCTTCCTCCTCCTCCTTCTCCTCCTCCTCCTCCTCCTCCTCCCCTCATCCTCCTCCTGATCATCACTCCCCTGCCGATCCCCCGCCCGCCCCTTCCCTTCCCCTCCCCTATTCATTCACCCCCTTCTTCCTATTCCGTTTCCCTCCGCCCTCTTCTCCTCCTGTATCCTCTTAATTCCCATCCTCTCATTCCTTTCCTCCTCCACGTCAATCCCATCTGGTTTCAGTTTGCCTGCTCTAAGCGCGGCGCAACTGGATTGTGCGCGGCCCGACATCACTCCGCAATTCCTGGTCCCGTCTGGCCGCCCGGCCGCCGGGGCGAGACCTGCAGATGCCGTCAGACTATCCAGGTCTGATTCGACACCCGACTCGGGGAATAGAAAAAGAGTGAGCGCAGTGGGAAAGGACAGGAAGGGGGAAGTAGAATTGCAGATGTGGCGCGAGCCAACCTAGTTTGCCCTCCTCCCTCTCCCCACTCCCTCGCCCCACTCCTCCCCCTCCCCCGGCCCCGAGGAGGGGGGCGACGAGAAGGGCGAGGGGGCAGGAGGTAGAGGGAAGAAGCAGACGGGAAGGAAGTGGAAGATGCACTGGGAAGCGAAGGAGGTGCAGGGCAAGAGCGAACCGGAGAGGAGGGGGGCCCAGATGCAGGAGAGGGGGCCCTACCAGCCCGTCCTCTGGCTCTGGCTCGCGACGGCCTCGAGCTCGGACAGCTTGCGCCGGCCGTCGTCCTCGCGCCTCTTCGGGGGAGCAGGGATGAGGGGGGAGGAGGAGGAGGAGGAGGAGGAGGAGGAGGAGGAGGAGGAGGAGGAGGAGGAGGAGGAGGAGGAGGAGGAGGAGGAGGAGGAGGAGGGCTCGGATCTCGCGCGAGGCGGGGGGTATAGCGACCCCTGCCATGCGCCTCGAACGAGAGAACAAGCAGCAGGCGGCGAGGCCGCCCTCGGCCCAGCTCGGGTGGCAGGGCCGCCGGAGCCACGGCGGGCGGCGGCGGGCAGGCGGCGATCGGCAGTGTCGAAGTAATCGCGAGCAGTGCGCTGGCATGCCCAAATATGCTTTAGGTATGTCCTCGTCCAGGTTTTCGCATGCAGTGTGTGCGCCGGTGGTGTTATGATGTCCGCGTCTCTCGTGTTGTTTGTCCTGTTGTTGTGTCATATGTGTCTCGTGTTGTTTGTTGTTCCTACGTTTTCCAATGTCCGAAACCTGTGTGGCTTTGTTTTGGTTGTTCTTGTCTGGATACTTTCGAACCGGTTGTTATGATATCCCTGTTCCCTGTTCGTCGTTTCCGTAGCCTCACTGCTCTCGTGTACCAGCTGGTTTCTTTTGTGTTTCTCGTCTCAGCGGCATCGGTTGCAATCGCGTTGCTTTATTGTCGCCGTGGCGTCTTTTTTTATCACTGGCTACGGAAAAACACACACACACACAAGAAAAAAAATGTGATCAAAAACGCATGGGAGCAACAAGTGGCACGAAAAATGCCAAAACTGAAATCGCAGGGACGCAAAGGGTACAAGGCTACGGAAACGAACACAAAAAAAACGATAACACCGCGGAGGGCAGCAAACGGCATGGAAATCGAAAATAATTTAACATCGCAGCAACACAATAGCACAACCTTCATGGGAAGCAACAGATGATAACGACCGTAATGAGGGTACCACTTTAAAACACCTTCAAGTAATAAGAAATTCTATTGTGGAATTTCCAATTCCCAGAATCACAGTCGATCCTTCCTTGTTTGAAATATTGTGTCACACTGCCGGCCCCCTGCTACGATCATAACATCACTTTTATCATGCGTGTTGTCTTCGAATCCGTGACGCTGTCTACGCCGTGTCCTCTCACTCCCGTTTGTTTTGCGTTCTGTGCTAGTCAAGTGTTCTGGTAGTCCCGCATCACGAGAGTCGTGTGTTTTTGTTGCTTGCGCAACGTGTGCAATACGCGAGAGTGGCATGAACGCACGCGTCCCCTGACAATGCCAACTTGGACAATACCTCATCACCAAACTGCAAGAGTCGGCGCCGCATCACTCGACGCACTGTAAATCGGACTCCCTACGACGAACACATCGTTGAATTTTCGGAACAAACCCACAGCGCGCGTTCACCGAACGAAGACAAACGCAATCGACAGAGAACACGGATTACACTTTAATGTCGAGCACCCTCAAGTTGCCAACGTACACCTCTTGAAAAACGAGCACGCGGTCCTTCGCCCTCGGCAGCAGATACCAGCACGCTCGCTGGAACGAAACGAAGCGCGTTCGCAGCCGAGGTCGGACACGGCCCTGGCGAGCTCGGCTCGGCCCTCCTTCTCGTCGCGGGCTTCGAGCAGCAGCCGAGGGCCGACTCTTGAAGCTGCTGCGCCGTCTTACCTTCCACGCGCTGGCTCCAGGACTCTCGCGATTGTTGCTGCGCCTGCTGACTGGGCTCGGGCCCCGCGATGGCCTCCAACATCGCTGCGAACACGCGGGCGGAGGGTGCTCCGAGCACGTCCAACTCCGCCTGTTTGCCATACGGCCGCTGCACTCCCACGTGGCTGGCCGCCCCTGTCGCCTCCGTCGTCAAGCAGATGAGATGCGTCGAGACGAGCTAGGCGGCGCGCCATAGGATCCCCGCCCCTGAGCTCCGCGGCGTTGGATGAGTCCCAGCTTCGCCGCCGTCTCCACCGCGTGGCTCCACGATGTCTCGCGCGGCGCGCTGGCGCCTCTGCGCTGGTGGCCCGTTTGTTTCTTCTGAGCGAAATCCCCAGGATGGCGGCGCGCGCTCCAGCGACGTGATCGGGCAGGGAATCGAATAGTGGCGCGCGCGTCTGTAGATGCCGATGCAATACCGCAAATGCGTCTGCCTCGAACGAGCACAATTGGAACCCACGTAGTTCTAGACGATACAAACGACCCTCCAAAATACCGAGATGACATTTCCACGGACCCCACTCGCAATACGCGTTTGACAACATGCTGCTGCGCGGCACCAACAGACCCATAGACCCGCCACAGCATGGGCACCCGTTGTTCACCACCACGGCCACCCACGGGCCACGGAGGCCACGGCAGGCAAGACGATGATACACAGCAGCTTTGAATGAGGAAAACGATTTCAAGCACGTGGCCCCATCCTCCAGCTCAAACCCGCATGACCACTCCTCTGGCTCCTGCTGCCGACAACGCGAGCATGCCCGGGTCGAACAGGGCGGTGATTCTGGGGCCCAGCCTGGAGGCGGGATCGCCGTCGCGGATGCCCCTTGTCGAAATGTCGGAAAGCCCAAGTCATTGGACTTTGACCCGAGTTCAGGACCAAGACGTCTGGAGAAACCCACGACGAGCCACGCGTCCTACTTCGCTTCCTTCATCATCCATCTCACCAAGACTTGCCAGCATATCCTCTCGCATACGTTTTGCCCACGGGTTCGCGCGCGCTGCGACGCCATCCCCGCGCGCCGACGAGCGCAGTGAATACTTGATCTTTCTGATGCGGTGAGCTAGCGATGACCAAATATCGTCGCAGCTGGCGCGCGAGCTTGCAGCTCGCACGGGGCCATGCGCCAAAAGCCAGCACCTCCAAAATAGTTATCGACTTGTGCTTGACGCGCGCCCCACCGCCCACCTCCTCCCCCTCAAGGGACCAGAGGAACCCCGAGGAGTGGAAGGCCACGGCCGCGGCACGCCGGCCTCCCTGAAGCCCTGGGAACAATCTACTATGAGCGGAGACATGCGCTCCTAATATCTAACGCGCGGCTTGTCGGGCGGGCATCGCGACGTTGCCCCGCCTCAAAAACTGGGCGTCGCAGTGCGACCCTGGACCAGAAGACGGGGGTGATCTCCTGCTTGGCGGGGTTCTGGCGGCAGCCAATAGATCCCATGACAGCGTCAGACTCCTCTTTCGCCTCCTGGTTCCTGCCTCTTAGCCCCCCCACCCCCCCCCCCTTCTTTCGCCATTATGACATGCGAGAAGTCGTCTGCCGATTGGCATGTCTGATCCACGGCTCGATTCACAAATGGGCTCTCGATCCTCAACTCCTCGCCCCACGTGGTTTCTCCATCAGGGCATGGGGCCACCCGCTGACCCCTGCCTGAAATCCGAAGACAAAAAAACGCACCATCGATGGATCACCCATGAGCGCGCAACAGATAGGCCGCAGCAGGGCGGGCGGGCCCTGCAGACTCGGCAGAGAGACGACAGCCCCCTGATTTCGACGCGGCCCAAAACCCCCAAGGTCCTCTCGCATAAGCCTCACGCTCACATCACCAAGCTACGACCACCCGACGCCGCCGAAGGCGTTGCTCAGGTCGCGAAAATGGCGCGAGCAACTGCGGCCAACCTGCCCGGCACGAAAAAGTGCAGCATGCACCGCGATACCTGCGCCACCCTTTCAAGCCCCCCCCCACCACCACAACCACGCATAGTGGTTTATATCAGATATATAGTTATCTATATATATATATATCATGCGCGAGACGCCTTTGGCAGCGACGAGTGGCCCGCGCACCGCGGCCCCCTCAAAGGTACGAGGCGACGTCCTGCTCGAAGCCCTACCGCCGCGTGACATGGCGCCCTCTTTCCAGGGCCACGATGCGCCATGACTCGCATGTCTATAAGGAGGGGCGCGCCCAGACGCACGCAATCTGACGAGCCCGTCTCCCATTACTCGGCGAAAGAAAAGTGCCTCGCGCATCTGAGGCCGAGCCCAAGTCCTCGGCCTGCAGGCACTACATCATCTGGAAAGTGGGGTCCACTACCCATTAGTAGCGCGAGAAGCTCCAGTGGTGCTGACCACGGTGGCACTGCTCGCCGTTTTGCTGCTCTGCCCAGTTGTCGTTGCACTCGGAGAAAGTCACCTTTCGCCGCCTTCCTTTGACTTTCGTCTAGCACCACCGCCGCCGTCAAATCTGCTCGCTGGTTCCTCCACGCGTACCAGTCGCGCAGCAGTCGCGCGCCCATTCCGCCCTGGTGGCCAGGGAGGCCCCATTGCTGCATCCACTACTCGCTGGTCAGCCCAGCCGCGCGAACTGCAAGGTGATGGGCCGCTTGGCACCGAACTTGGCTCCTGCCGCTCTCTGCGATAGCCGATGCACCTCAACGCAGCGTCGTCTGTTCCACTCGTCCCAGAGAGTATCCAAAACAAGTTCCTGAAAGCTTTGCCAGTGTCAGAAGCGAATATGTTTCATTATCTGAAATAGGGCCTTCAGCTGTACTTCCAGTTTGCCCATCTCTTGTTCGCTGGTCTCCGTATCAAAATTCGCCCGCTTCTCCATTCTATGTTGTCATAGAGATTCGCGTCGTTCCTTTCGCTGCCGGTATTCTGGGCCATCCTATAGAGATGCCCGCGTGAAAAACTCCAATCCCACCGTGACAATCAAAGACTCCAAATACTCAAACAACGGATCGGGCGATGCTCAATTCATGGGGTCACTGATGGTGTCAGCATGCTTCTCCAGGTGAGCTTCCACTTGCGCGGTGAACTGTTCGCCTGTTGCCCAAGAGACAAAGAGAGAGAGCCTCCAGCAGTGTGTCCCTATCCCACATTATGCCTTTGGCTGCATGCAGGCCACGTGCGCCAGGTAAGCGAAGTTACACATGCAGGGAACGCGGTTTCTACGAATTGTGCTCTAGGTATATGTTGGAATCGGCGTCCAGGACGGAGTACTGGGCAACGGGCGTCCTTCAATTGCGTCAGTGTCTGAGGTGTGGCCACAGAGTACACGATCGATGGTATACCTCCCGCGCCATACCACGCTGCCGTAGCGGATTCCGTCGTTGGAACATATTGAGAATGCTTCTCGAGAAGCTCCCGAAACGTTCGGCCCGCAGTGTGCTCTCGTCGGGCGCCCGCCGGTAGCAATGCCGATGCCTCTCGCAAAATCGTAATATTTTCCCATCCCATCGTCTAGATACTCTCTCAAAAAATGGGACGCTGCGAGAGGGAGTAGAGCTCAGAATATGATCAATCCAGTCCGTCAATGCCGTAACCGTCTTCCCATATACCTGCAGTGTTTTCACCGTGGTAAGTCGTGGTGGATAGCATGCTCCAACCGCTGTGAAGTCCCACGATCCAGAGGCCACGCGCGCTGCCGATCCTCGTCCAGCGAGATGTGATGGTGATACTTGCAGTCTGCGTACATGTTTCTTTCGTATCTTGGCTCCGAAAGAAATCAGCACGCTGGTGGACTTGTTAGTCATGGGGCCCGCGGACGAACCAACATCAATACGCCAGCGTCGTCCGCTTCGAGGCTGCTCCATCATCTCTTCGGTTCTTCGTTGAGTACCCACCTGCGTGATCGCGTCGAAATTCGAGCATGCCAAAGCTATCTCTTCAATAGCAGCCCCCGCCGTGGCAGCAAGGGGGCTATAGTGCATCATGCGCCAGACGTGTGACGGCGCCAGGTCGTGTGCCTGCTTTCCACCTGTGGAAGACAACGCGGCCAGCAAACCGCCTGCCGCCCTCATCGGGCAGTGGCCGTCCGAGGCCTGATCAACTGCGGGAAACTGCAGGACGAGGAGGTGCTCCGATGAAATGGCGCCTATCGCCAAACCTGGGCTCGTAGCATATGGGCGACTAGCATCAGCATCAGCATCAGCATCATCATCAGCATCATCATCACCACCACCACCATCATCATCATCAGCATCATCATCATACTCTGCATCATCAGTATCAGCATCATCATCAGCATCAGCATCATCATCACCAACCTAAACATCACCACCATCGTCATCATCATCACAATCATCTCCCTCGTCATCGACCCCTACTCCCAGCGTGCTCAATACTCTCCTCCTCCTCCTCCTCATCCTCCTCCTCATCACCATCACCATCACCATCACCATCACCACCACCATCACCATCACCATCATCATCATCATCATCATCATCATCATCAGCAGCATCATCATCATAATCATCATCAGCATCAGAATCATCACCAGCATCCACAGTACCATTATCACCCTCTTCCCTCACCGGCGTATCACCCCTGTCATCCGCCCCATGCTTGTCACCACCGCCACAATCGTCAGCATCGCCACCGTCACTGTCATCGCCATCGTCATCTGAATCCTTGTCTTCCCTATGCACCTCAATTCGCAATCCTTGCTCCCCGTTTGGCTCCCCAGGGCCTTCTCTGCTCCGCCTGGGTTTGCCTCAGGACGGTGGCCAGCTCGTCCAGCCTCTCACAGGGAGAGAGAGGGAGGACGACGACGACGACGACGACGACGACGACGACGACGACGACGACGACAACGACGACGAGTAGATGGAGGAGGAGGAGGAGGAGGAGAGCGGGAGCGGGAGGGGGACGGGGAAGGAGGGGAAGGGGGAAGGGCAGGACAGCTCCTACCGAGAGAGATGCTCGTGGATAGGATCACTGGGCAGAAGTTGCGCTTCGTACGGGGCCACATCGCGCCACAGCGGACACCCACCACAACGACGCTGGGTGGCGACATACGAACCCTACCCCCACCAACCACCGATTCTCCGGGATCGATGGGAGGCGGGAGGGGGGGGGGGGGGGGCAACTCGCCACGTGTTCGACGAATTCCGAACCCTGCCCCCGCCGCCCATCGAGCTGCCTGAATCCTTGACCGGCGAGGGTAAGGTTCGGATCTCGGATATAGACTGTGGAGCCCTGCAGACATGGCTTAGGGGTGGTATGCCTACCGACATGCTGAACTACTCCTGCCTGCTCCTGCTCACCGCGGACGCGTGCCAAAGTAAAGCAGCCCAGCATAGAAACGTAGATTTAGGACTTCGCCGCCGAGTAGCAAAACGGACACCGGACACCAACCGCACGGACCACTGCGGCGCAGCTCGTCGCACAGGGACAGGGGCCAGCAGGCGCGGGCCACCGCGGCGCGTCGCCGCGGCACCTCCGACCGGGTGGGCCGCGCGCGGCCTGCGCCGCGTCTTCTCCTCCAGCTCCGCGGAACCCCGCTGCACGTCGTCCTGCGGGCTGCTGTGGCGGCGCTTGGGCGATGCGCAATGGGGGGGCGAGCAATAGGAACGAGGGGTGGGGGCAGAGAAACGTGCGCCTTGCCTACCCTGTTGGGGCCCCCGGGGGTCCCTTGAGGGCCCCTTGAGGGCACAAGAGGCGCACCTTGCTTCCCCCCTCCCCATGCACAGTCGGCCCGTATCAGAAGGACGCACGGGAAGTGTGCAAGGGCCTGGGACGCCCATGTCGAAGCTTCTCGCGCGGGGCGCGGCCGACAAAAGTGGCCAAGGATGAGGGAGGCGGCAAGGATGCAAGGGTGTCCTTGGGAAGTTTGCCCATCCTTACTATGCGGGTCGACGGTACCCCCCTCCCCATGCATCGCCCCCCCCCAGTACGCAACGCCCGAGGCGCGGGGGCGGCGCCGCTGCCTGCAGGGGGGCCGAGCGCACTGCTGGCCACGGGCCCAGATCGCTCGACCGGAAGCTGGCTCCGCAACGGGATCCTCGCCGCCCGAGTTGAGCGTGCGAGGACGAGTTGACGCCTCGAGGCCTGCCTCGTCCTGAGCAGGCCATGAGCCGCATGTGCTCATGCTCTTGTATGCCAGTCTGCAGTTACAGAACACGCCAGGAAGACCCTCAGCACGCGAGAGGCTCCTGTGGAATAGGGGGGTCGTCCTCCAACGTCCACTTCTCCTCCGTCCGCGCGTCCCAGAAGGGACTCTTACTTGTAGTCAGATTATCAGATCCTCAATACAGACGCCAGCGTTTGCCCCACCGCGGGTGAAGAAAAAGCAATGTGGCAGGTAGTCCCCAAGCAAGCCTTAGTAAACCTTGGTAATGTGCGTCATGACCACCATCATCATCATCATCATCATCATCAGCATCATCATCATCATCATCATCATCATCATCATCATCATCATCATCATCATCATCATCATCATCATCATCATCATCATCATCAGCATCATCATCATCATCATCATCATCATCATCATCATCATCATCATCATCATCATCATCATCATCATCATCATCATCATCATCATCATCATCATCATCATCATCATCATCATCATATCATCATCATCATCATCCTCATCATCAGCATCATCAGCAGCAGCATCATCATCATCATCATCATCATCATCATCATCATCATCATCATCATCATCATCATCATCATTAATATCGTCACCACCACCACCACCATCATCATCATCATCAGCAGCATCATCAATCATAATCATCATCATCATCATCATCTTCTTCATCATGATCAGCACCATCATCGTCATCATCAGTATTATCATCATGATCAGCATAATCACCACCACCATCATCATCATCATCGTCATAAGCATCGTCATCAGCATCAGCATCATCATCAGCAGGATCAGCATCATCATCATCCGCATCATCATCGGCATCATCATCAACAGCAGCATCATTGTCACCATAGTCATCAACATCAACATCAGCATCATCATCACCATCATCATGATCGTGGTCGTCACCATCATCATCACCATCACCATCACCCCCCCACAATCATCACTATCATCAGCAGCATCGGCATCAGCAGAAAAATCTGCATCAGTGTCGTCATCATAGTCATCAACACCATCTGCATCATCAACATCATCATCAGCATCATCATCGCCATCATCATCATCACCATCAGCATCGCCGTCATCATCATCGTCATCATCAGCAGCATCGTCATCATCATCGGCATCAGCAGCATCATCATCATCAGCACCAGCACCAGCATCAGCATCATCACCATCAGCATCATCATCATCACCGTCATCCAACTCAATGTGATACGAACTCCTTCACTCTCCGCCACCTCTTCCTGCTAATTGGCAACCACCTCCTCCTCCTCCTTGTCCTCCACCCCTGCCTCAACCTCCCGCTCTGTACTGGACATCCTCCTCCTCCTCCTTATCATCCTCCTCCTCCTCGCCATCATCAGCATCATCAGCATAAGTATCATCATCATCATGATCATCGTGATCATCATCATCATCATCATCATCAGCAGCATTATCTTTATCATCATAATCAGCATCATCATCGTCATCATCAGCATCATCATCAGCATCATCCTCATCATCATCCTCATCCTCATCATCCTCATCCTCATCCTCATCCTCATCCGCATCATCCTCATCCTCATCATCAGCATCATCAGCAGCATCATCATCATCATCATCATCATCATCATCATCATCATCATCATCATCATCATCATCATCATCATCATCATCATCATCATCATCATCATCATTCATCTCCACATCGTTCATCTCCACATCGTTCTCGCCATCTGACCCTTTGTATCATTCCTGCTCCTATCCTTTTCCTATCCTTTTCCGCCTCCTCCTCCTCCTCCTCCTCCTCCTCCTCTTCCTCCTCCTCCTCGTTGCCCTCCTCCCGACTCATCCCCCCGCACAGACGGCGCCAGTCCTGCCGCGCCAGCATACCCAGGTGGCTTTGTAGCCTCTCCTCCTGCATCTCCAGCGCCCGCCGCAGATCGTCTTGCGAGCGCGCCAGCGCACCCCCACGGGCCTCGAGCTCCGAGATCCTGCCAGGGGCCCTCACACCAGCACTCGACGAGGCGACGCGGGAGGGGAAGCTGCGCGACGACTGACTTCTGTCTTGGGGAAGGGCTGGGGCGAACGAGCAGATGCTGCAGCGCAGGCTGGAAGGGGCAGAGGCAGAGGCGAGACGGCGACAAGGAGGATAGCGAAGGCGACGAGATGACGACGACGACGACGACGACGACGACGACGACGACGAGGGGGGACAATGCGATGACCATCACGAGGAGGTCGAGGAGGACGACGAGGACGCACAGGCTGGCTGGAGCGTCCAGGACCTCTGAAAGCTGTGGCGGCGCTTGCGGCAGGTGTCCTGGTCTACCCTCAAGAACGCATGGGCCCGGGAGCGATGCAACCGAGCGTGCGGGGAATGTGGAAGGAGGGAGGGGAAGGGGGAGGGGGACGAGGAGGAGGAGGAGGAGGAGGAGGAGGAGGAGGAGGACGAGGAGGACGAGGAGGCGGGGGAGGAGGAGGAGGAGGAGGAGGAGGAGGAGGAGGAGGAGGGAGAGGATGAGTGAGTAAGAGAGATGAGAGGAGATGATGATGGTAGTCAAAGGAGGAAGGAGGAGGAAGGAGGAGGGAGGAGGGATGAGGGGGAGGAGGAGGAGGAGGGGGAAGAGGGGGAGGTGAAAGAGTAGGAGGGAGGAGGAACGACGAAGATGTAAGACGGTAGGATGGGACAGAGCAGAAAGGGAGGAGTCAAAGACTCTAAAGAGGAAGAGGGATAAGTTGGAGCGAGGAAAATGTGCGGAAGTGGAGAATGGGGGGCGTCCGCGAAGTGGCGTGTGCGGAAATTGATCCCCAGGCTTGTAACGGAGAGCTCAAGGATCTGCCACATCGCACACTTGCCTCCAAAAGGCCTCCGGGACCCTGGCGAAGTGGTGACGCCACCCCATGCGCCCGAAGCATTCGTGCGTTGGGTCCCCTCATTTTTTTTTTTTTTCCCCCCCCCAGGCAAAACGAAATCGCTCTGAAGGTTCGGATTCGATCGCTCTTCTGTCCGCCACACGCGCGCGACAAAGCAGCCGACAGCAGTGCAATAAATAAGGCGAAAACCTACAGTAGCCCCGGACTCGGGCAATGTCTCCACCGCTTCGCGGAGAAGCGGCGCAGCGCCCGTGCCGGCAGCCTGCCCCGCCCGCGCGCGCCGACCCGCCGCAGGGGGATCGCCCGCGCTGACGTGCGTGCATCTATTTGAGACGCTTCGGAAAGCACCTGCGGCGCTGCGCTCCACTGCCAAGCGTGCTCCCAGGCGTACCAAGATCCTCTGCGAGGGAAGAGCGTGTCGCCTACATCTCCTCGCTGGCTGTGCATCGTGGTGGGAGGCCATCTGCGTCGGCGCGCCGGTGCTCGAAGAGTTCCGCGCCTCGTCTCTGGAAGTGTCTGAGCCCCTGAGCCAGAATGAGTCGAGCGAGCCACCAAATTTTGGAGGAGCAGCGGGGGGAGGTGGCGCAAAGGTGGAGGCGGCAGAGGTGGAGGAGGAGGAGGAGGAGGAGGAGGAGGAGGAGAAGGAGTCCTCTGGCCCAGCTCTGCCTCCAGCCGCTGCAGGGATTCCTCGCCTCGGCTGCCTCCCCCCCAGAGGCGGATTAGGAGGAGGAGGAGGAGGAGGAGGAGGAGGAGGAGGAGTCCTCTGGCCCAGCTCTGCCTCCAGCCGCTGCAGGGACGCCTCGCCTCGGCTGCCTCCCCCGGGGATAGCGGACGAGGCGGCCCCTCGCCATTGCGATCGGGGCCGGAGGGGGAGCTCTCGATGGAGCCGGGCCTCGGCGGGCTCGACTTGTGTGTCTCGTCGCCAGCCTCGAAGGGGCCCTGGGACACACCAAGAAATACACACAAATAACAGGATCCCCCATATTTCCCCATATTTTCCTGGTTTTTGTCTTCCCCCCCACTTCCCATAGTTTCCCCTATTTTCCTGGGAGTCGACGATTCATTGGGTCTCTGTGCGTTTCTTTCTCTCCCGAGACCGCTGGAGCTGCGGACCCATCCCCCCTGGGGCTGGCTTTCGTTCTTTCGGGCGTCCCCGGCAGTTGCACGTGACAGTCCGGCGCCCCGAGAGCAAGCCAACGATCCCTTACCTCATCCTCCCGAGAGGCCCAGGGCAGAGCGAAAGAGAGAAACCAATCGGCCACTAGCTCGACTCTGCTTCGAGCCGCCAGGGTCCTGAGGGTAGGTCCCCCCCCCCTCCCCCCCCCCTCCCCCAGGACGCTGCATTCGACGAGACGAAGAAACCACACAAGAGTAAAAAACCAGAGAATACCAAAATCCCACATAAACCCAGAAGGGGGTCCCGCCCCCCAGGACGCTGCATTTGACGAACGAACAACACAACAGGACAAGAGAACAAGAAACCCAATGACACCCATAGGGAGGTCGTTGGGAGGAGGACTCGCTATGGGTCTGGGTGCGGGTCGTCGGACCCTGGGGAACGCTCCCGTTCGAGCGGGGACCCCCCTCCGACAACACGCACCC